TGAGGATAGAAGCGGGAGGGAGACGGCAGCACACGGAGGCCATGGCCATCAACAGTGAGTCGGCAGCCGAACACCGCGGCAATGCTACACTCAAGTGAACCCCCCCCCCCCCCTCCCCTTCCTCTGGAAAACTGAGTACGCCTACGGATGGTACATCTCCGTGCATGGTAAACAGCCACCATACTTCATCTATAGCGCATAGCAGCATTGCATCGAAAAACAGATATGCTACGCCTAGCGTCCCTTTCACCACCTCAATAGGCACCCTACCCGGCTTATGACGACTGTTTTGCTTTATTATTGGCGTTACCTGAAAACCAAGCAGAGCACCATTTCCTTTGTGCAGCATGCACTGTATCAGTAGGCTTGGTTGTCCCACCGTTTTGCATCTCCTGAATACGCCCATGAAATCTCAGTTTTAAATCTTATAATGCATCAACTCAAAAGGCATAACCACTTTGTGTCGGTTAAGCTGAAAACGGCTGATAAACATGACAGCTGTGTCGGATGAACAATACTTAGTTGCCCCCTTTGCTCTTTTATGAAACTTTTCAGGAGTTGTTAAAGGAAGACAAGTGTCGTCGAAAGAATATGAACGTCGCGCGCATTTTTCCATGATTAGTCCAGTACTATCCCAATATCTTCTTTTTTTGTTCCCCATTCATATGGTATGTTTCATGCTGTCAGCATTTCGTTCTTGACCTTCTATCAAGTCAGCAGTATTAGCTTTCGTTGTTCCCAAATCGGCGGTACATTTACTAAAATTTGAACGCGGCAGCGAAGATAAGCATAGCCTTACATATGGAGCGCATACATACATTCCGGTACAATTCAGTGAGGTTGCATGCAGCAAAGCGTTGTCACAGAACAAAACTGCAAAATGTCAACATTTTCGTTTTCTTTATCTGCCAGCTTTAAACTTCGTTGCTCTTCGCCACAGATTATGGCATCGTCTATGATGCGTCGCTTTTCTTGCTAAGCCCTGTGACTTCAGAGAACAGAAATGTTCGTGACGAGATTGTTTGATGCTTGTAAGTGCAATATTCCAGCTTTGATCCCACAGGAATAGAGTGCACACACCTCCCACCCCATCTGTGATACATCAGGGATGCCTTTCACGAATACAAAGCATGTTGAGTCCTCCCGAGATTATTTTCGACGCGTTGGGCCGTTGTTAGAAGCCCATGCACCTGGCTAAAAGATGCCTATCATGGTAGGTCTCATGAAGCAACAAGACTCATTCTGCTTACGTCTTATCCCTTGAAAACTCAGCACAAAGACGGTAGTAAAGGGAATATTTGGTCTTAGTGCTAAAGGCGTACCAATGTGCACGTTGGCCTTGGTTCAAAAAGGCTCGGTTCATATATGTCAATCGTCTGGCAGGCAAACAAACATAACATCCGAATGAAAAAAATACGGACAACTTTCAGTGAAACGCGCATGTTGACCTTGCTCAACCTATCCAGGCATCTAGTGAACACCAACTGAACACCAACACCACCCACATGAACACCACGTACGGTCATGACAAGACAGAATGCCAAAGGTCAGCAGGTGTACCGTGGGCCGCCCACCGCGTGTACGTCACGAAAAGGTCACGCCCACATAGCAGTGGAAAACATGAAACAGCACACCAAATTTGACATTCCCAGCTCATTCCACTACCAGTGCAGCCCATCTACTGCGTGAGAGGCGGTCCGAATGGATGAGCACGTGCTGCTACCAATCCTGACGTTGACCGCACGCACGCGAACCAGGAGCACCGGATAACTTCACACGCTCCAAGCGTTCGGGATACCGAACGTCCGCCACGCGACGCTTCGCAATCACCGGCAATGGTGAAGGGTGACAAATCTCCTGCACATTCGCCACGAGTCGTCCAGCGCAAGCCTGGCACGAATAGCTGCATGTCCAGACACCAGTCGTGTGCTTTGAACAGCGTAAGAAATCGAGCCGTTCTAGCTCATCTCATCATTGACACGGCCCATTGACACGGCCATTGACACATTGACGCCTATTCATGAAGGGATCTGCGCGCGCGCCTGCTGACCCTGGTCCTGAGCAAGGTTATACGAGGCGTGTGTATAGATGAGATGCAAAGCCTCCGGGTACCCAGTGTGCCAAATTCCATCGCATGCATGGAACAGCACTCGTTTAACAGCAATAATCTGTGGTCAAGAATGAGTTGCACGTCCAGCGTGAGCATGCTGGCACCTCGCATCTGAGGAAATCCGTTTGAATACGTTTCCCTGTCACCACTTCAATGCGTTGCGCTGCCACCGCTTGGATACGCTTCCCCTGTCACCGCTTGGATACGTTTCTCGGTCACCGCTTGGATACGTTTCCCTGTTGGCGCTTGGATACGTCACCCTGTCACTGCTTTGATACGTTTCCCTGTCGCCGCTTGGATACGTTTCCCGGTCACCGCTTGGATACGCTCCCTGTCACCGCCTGGATACGTTTCCCTGTCACCGCCTCGATGCGTTTTCCTGTTACCGCTTGGGTACGTTTCCCTGACACTACGTTGATATGTTTCCTGTCACCGCTTGGATACGTTGCCGTCACTGCTTGGATATGTTTCCATGTTATCTTGTATCGTCAAGAACAGGACCAACGAGCAATCGAGGCGCGAAATATGTCCGGCCCAAATAATGTGGATACAAATGCGCACGAGTGCATCATGCGCATTCATCGACCTGTTTGCTTTTGAAGGCACTATATTGCCAAACATGCAGGCTGCCTTCCCACGTTCCAAGCTTGTCAACCGTAGCTCGACGCGATGGTGTCCCGGAGGTGTTTCAAACTAAAGCGAAGCACGCGCCTGGCGGGTCCACCGAGGGCCGCCGGCTGCCCTCGACCCCCGTTTAATGTGGGCCACGTCGGCGGTCATGTTCCCATGGATAAACAACCGCTGTAGTCGGTCGTTTGACCTACACCCATGAAAGTTCAAGTCTGACAGGGCTCCGGGGTATTGCGTGTGGTACGGCACGTGACACGGCGCGTGGCACGTGCCATTCGGCATCGGTCGGTTCGAAATCTGCGCCACAGTCGTTTCACTTAGCCACTTCACCGGACGGTGGTGGTTTGGTGAATGGATTGAGCGACTGCCATATGTGAAATATCATTGCACTAGAAGCGTGCAAAGCACACTTCTAGTCACTTCGATTTTTAAATGCTCTTTGTGCAGCACGTTAGGCATGCACTGCATCATGAAGCTCATAAAAGACATTTATTCATTCGGTGTATTGTCGATGATGATCGAAAATCCTGAAAATGCGATCGGTTTCCATGGTTTGATATCCGTGGAGGCAAACCGATAGATCCATTCGCCCGTTGGTCCGCTCACATGCCCTTTATCATTTAACATCGGATATCAGTTTGAACGAACGTTGTCTCCAAACGCGCGTCATGCATAGGTCTAGGCACTCTGGGCTATACAAATGACAATGGGGCACACGTGCGTTAAACAATTCGAGTTCGGCGTCAAATAACTTCATGGTGACTAGATGGTGATAGGTGGCAAAGCGACTCATCAAAGTTGCAGATCTGGCCTGGTATGAAGCTGCTTTGCAGCGAAACTATGACGATGGGCGTTATCCCTAATGAGAGTTAACACACCAAGCAATTTACACTCATGCGTGCAAAATATGACGTCTGACCACGTATTCAGGCGTTTGCATGCATTTAAACACACGAAAATAAAGCAATGAAATATAAAAATTTGTCGCACGTGCAAAACTTTGGTACGACACACCGACTGTCATATCACGACTCGGCATGGGCAATGTCATCCCAACATGTGGGCGGTTATCGCGCAAGCGACAGCGCACTGTTACCGCAGCCGCAAGGCCTCCTCAGACATGTATGGACCGGGAAGCCGAGGCGCCACTTTGAGGTTTCGGTTGGTCCTGCGGGAAGAAGAGGACAGACGCAGCTGTATTCCGTCTGGCACGGAGGCAGGTGACCTTCAGCTGAATCCTGAAAAGCACGTGACGAAAACGGTATTCGTGCTTACCTTCGCAGGGAACCGTCATTAATGACAAACAAACGGTATGTTTGTCATTTCGTTCAGTTCGTGGAAATAGATGGAGTGTCTGTTTTGTTTTTACATTGCTTTTTTGTTCAAAAGTCCGCATCCTTAAATGCGGCTTGGCTTGCAGAAACATCATTTTGGATCCAAGATACATACGCTGCGGCACATGTTTTAGGGACAGTTTGACATGTTCCCTTTGGTACGAATCTTCCTTTTGCGCAGTGATAATTACGTGAATTATTTTGCCTTCATACGGGCCATTGGCACGCCAGTATCACATTTTTGTACTTCCATTATGGGTAAGCTTTATTCCAGTGTACCGACGTGAGGCAAAGCGCAATTATGTGACAAGCTTCCAAAGTGTCCGTTTTTCTTCTGCTTAATTTTGGAAGAGAATAAATCCGCTTATTGGTATAAACATTTTCGATTGTACTGGGAAAGCTTGAAATGAAAACTGCCCCTGTAGGGTCAAACGCTTTCTACAGTAAGGTGCGCAGTTGGATTAAAACACGCTCCAACAATGCATTTGTAGTCTGTGTTGGCTAGAAGATTTCCTTTTTCACGATAATTTACCGTGAGAACGTAAATCAAATCTACCATGGGTGTGCGTTCATATTCCATAACTTAGGCATGAGCGTGGTTGGAAACAGCAAATCAACCAGGCATATGAAGTGTGAAAATTTCAAAATACGCCGAAATTACACCATAATTCAAATGTCTTGTTGTTGCTGGCTTGGCTTTTCACCTTTGACCCCGACCGTCTGAGGCAGTTGAACTTAAGCTCTCCGAGCTTCCAGTATAGACTTCGAACAGTGTCAGGGTGGCCACCAAGTTTTCCAGGTTGGTATCAACTGCAGTGTCAAGTATATGCAAGTAACTGACAGGTGATCAACAGAAGACCTTCTGAAAATCATTGGGGTTCATCAGATCACTTCGTCGCCAGTAGCAGCAGAATTCATGTGAGTCAGGTTGTAAGCATCTAACCGATACTATAAACCGACACATTTTTAAATCAATGACCTGTGTGTTTCATGTGAGCTGCAAAAGCACACAACCTATGTCAGACTGATCAGGCAGCCTGACCGGGACCAAAATTTACCTTGACCTTAGCTGACCTTAACCTTTGACCTTGGAAATGCAATGGTGTCGCTACACAGTGTAATGAAACTTGCCTTTTCTTGGTGCCGGTTGCAAAGCTGTGTTTGATATGACTGTCGCTGGATTCGGCGCTAAAGACGTGCATATATTTTGTTGATTTGTAGGTTATTCTGTGCGATCCGTTATGTCATCAGTCACCTTAAATGTACAAGCTCTGCGATTACAGTGTGAGAATGATTGGGTCCATTGTTTGTCTCCTTCATTTGTTTCGGTCCAACCAACAGATCCCAAGGTATCAGGGGGTCTTAATCCCTCCTTCGCGGTCGGCGTGGTGAACTGAGTGAATCCTCTGCCCCGTGTGAAAAGCCTTACCCGTCTTAATCTCAGTTTCCCAGGTAGCATCAAGTCACAAAACTTGGCACCACTTCTTCGTCGCTGAGCAGCTCAATTGCCTCGTCATATACCTATGAAAACAGACAAATGGCTTCAGTGAGCCGGCATCATGGTCTTCCTGGCCAGCCCCACCTTATCATATCCATTTTGCATGGTTATCATGAACTACAGTACATCTTCATTAGCTAAATGTTCGCTTTTCTATCTACCGTTTTGATACCAATGTGATACCAAATACATATAAAAATATTGCACATATTCCAAGCGAGCACAAGCACCTCCAGTGCTGCGCGACACCACGTGCACTCCCCGACGCATCTGGGCAAACACCGCCGCAGGCTGTCAGAACGCGGCGCTTTCTCCACTTCCATAACGGAGTCGCTCTTCACGCGGTGAACAATGATCGGCCAGCAGCGAGCGCCCGGCGCCGGCGCCGGTCCTCCATAGGCGCCCGGCGTACTGAATAGCCAGCCGCAATATTGCACGGGCCGCCTGCGCTCAAGAAGAAAGGCCGTGTTTGCCTGAGACAAGTGTCGAGTCACTCTGGGGCCCAGCGAAGGCGTGGAGGCAAAACCGCGCGTCAGGAACATCGCCTGGCCGATGAGCTCGTCAGGTGACCAGGCTGGAGCGTGGCGACCTTTATTGCTACTCTAGCCCGAGCCTCTGCGTGCAGCCCGCTGAGCACCTCCCGCTTAGGAGTGCCAGAGGACGCACTCTAGGAGTTTGAGTGCACGCCTCTCCGTACGAGGCATACCGCGCCGCTGGACCGCAGACACAGTCAGTTTGAGGAGCGCACTGTTCAGTAAAAGCACACGTGCGTATGCTAATTAGGATCATACGTATGACACGGCCTGGACGATGAGCACGTCAGGTAACCGGACTGGGGCATGATCTTTACAGTACAAAATGACTGTTCATCAACTGTTGAACCCGACACATTTGTAACAGATAGCAACAGCTTTCCAAACTAAGCAGTTTCGGACCTGACCCGAAACCATATCCTAGTAGAACGGCATGTGCTGGTTCGGCCGAGCGCAGTCTTCTGTCGTTGCTCGGAAGGGGGCTGCACAGGGATACACACAGGGCACACACATACACAGGACTGTACAGCCTGTGCAGTGCCTCACCTCCAGCCAGCTACAGGACACAGTCCGTGTGGTGTCTCACCTCCCGCCAGCTACAGGGGACAGTCCTGTGGTGCCTCACCTCCTGCCAGCTACAGGGGACAGTCCTGTGGTGTCTCACCTCCCGCCAGCTACAGGGGACAGTCTGTGTGGTGCCTCACCTCCCGCCAGCTACAGGGGACAGTCTGTGTGGTACCTCACCTCCCGCCAGCTACAGGGGACAGTCTGTGTGGTGCCTCACCTCCCGCCAGCTACAGGGGACAGTCTGTGTGGTGCCTCACCTCCCGCCAGCTACAGGGGACAGTCCTGTGGTGTCTCACCTCCAGCCAGCTACAGGGGACAGTCCGTGTGGTGTCTCACCTCCCGCCAGCTGAAGAATACGGTCCTGTTGTGCCTCACCTCCCGCCAGCTACAGGGGACAGTCCTGTGGTGTCTCACCTCCCGCCAGCTACAGGGGACAGTCCTGTGGTGCCTCACCTCCCGCCAGCTGAAGAATACGGTCCTGTTGTGCCTCACCTCCCGCCAGCTACAGGGGACAGTCCTGTGGTGTCTCACCTCCCGCCAGCTGAAGAAGACGGTCCTGTTGTGCCTCACCTCCCGCCAGCTACAGGGGACAGTCTGTGTGGTGCCTCACCTCCCGCCAGCTACAGGGGACAGTCTGTGTGTTGCCTCACCTCCCGCCAGCTACAGGGGACAGTCTGTGTGGTGCCTCACCTCCCGCCAGCTACAGGGGACAGTCTGTGTGGTGCCTCACCTCCCGCCAGCTACAGGGGACAGTCTGTGTGGTGCCTCACCTCCCGCCAGCTACAGGGGACAGTCTGTGTGGTGCCTCACCTCCCGCCAGCTACAGGGGACAGTCTGTGTGGTGTCTCACCTCCCGCCAGCTACAGGAGACGGTCCTGTGGTGCCTCACCTCCCGCCAGCTACAGGCGGCGCGGCCGCGACCGCTTTCCGTTCAGGGGATAGCCAAGTCTCTGAAGTCCGAGTCGTCGACGCTCACGCCCTCGTCATGGTCGGCCAGCAGGGCGTCAAAGCCGTCCGGTAGCTGGAAGTCGGTTAGGTCGTCCAGGCCGTCGAGCGGGTCGGCCGCGTCCGGAACTGCTTCCAGCAGCATGACGGAGGCCGGCGGTGGCGGTGGTCGCTGAGTGGGCTCATCGTCGGCCGACTGCCCTCGCTCCAGCAGCGCGGCCAGCGCCCGGATGTACTGGACAGCCGCCCGCAGCAGCGTCACCTTGGTCAGCTTCTCGCCGCCACCAAGCAGCAGGCTCGGGATCGAGCGCTCCAGCATCTCGAACGCCGAGTTGATGTTCTTCATGCGGTCGCGTTCGCGGGCGTTGGCCGTCTTGCGGCGGTACTTGCTGAGAGGCGGCGGGCGCGTGCTGGGCTCGGGCGGACGGTGGTGCGGCTGGCCGCCGCCACGCTCCTGCTCCAGCCGCCTCCGAAGGGAGCGGGCACGCAGGCTATAGGGGCCGGCGGCGGCGCGGCGCGCCCCGTCTTCGCTCGTGGTCATGTGATCGGGGGTCGCTGCTCAGCCCGGCTCGGCCCCGGCTCCGGCTCGACTGCAGCCGCCGCTCGGCGCGGCCGCCACCGGCCGCTCTGCGCGTGGGCGACGCGAAGGACTCGCGGCCGATCAGCTGGGCGGTCTGGGCATTGCGCAAGAGCCGCGCCGGCGGGTGGGCGGTACCCGCCACGGCGCGCGTGGGCAGAGCCATTACCAGATTGGTGTGTACTTATCTCACGAGGTCTGTCTCACCGGCTCAGGATCGTTCGTCAGCCGCACTTGGCAAAACCTGGCTACAGGAAGTGCAAGTGCGAACCCGTTTCAAAACATTGAAGTCGTGCGGTATGAATCGGTTGAGCATAGTACTTGCCTGAAAAACGTGGAACATTTTGTGTCGTGCAACTGCATGCGCTTGCAGTTATGGTGCAGTAAAAGTCAAGAGCTACAAAAACTGGAGTTAAAAGTGAGTCCGAAATTGCAGTTTCTTATCGTCAGAAGTTTTGCACGGCCCTGCAACAACATGCCAACCAATGCCACCTAGGTTTCCGACATGCATCCGGCTAGTTTTTTCAGACGAGGGCGACCTCGCCGGCCAGTTTCAACCCACTCAGCACGAGCACGTAAACTGCGCTGCAATATAGCGCGATTGCAGGTAATTTTCCGTCCTTTGATGTTCTTATACACAAATGAGGTACTCTAAAATGGATGTCTCGTCTCTAAAGTGGGACAAATTTTCATTCCTGGTCCCGATTGGGCCGTCAAAGTCGTCTTGGTGTAGATGAATCATTGCTTTGTTTGGCCTCGTTTCTGGTGTCGACAAATTTACAGAGACCAGTAGTTACATCCTGAATAGAGCGATTTATGTCCGAGTTGCATGTCACGTTTGCTCCCAGTGTTAAGCTACGTTGGACATGTGATGGCTCTACGTTCGATGTTAATGTTTGAGGGAGCTTGTTGTTGCGTCCATGAAAGTCAATCCACCATCTCGCAAAGACGTGACCTGCTCTGTTTACAAGGCTAGCAAACTTTGGTCCTGACCGGTGCTATCATTACCTGTCGAGTTGGCACGATGCTTTTTGTGCCGGTTTAGAAAGATAAATGCATCCGGCCAGTTTGAAGAATTACTCCATCCGCACCACCACCGCGTCTCAAACATTCAGTAGACCTATGAAGCCTTCATTTTGACCGACATGGAAAGAAAATAATATGCCACACCACGTAAGCAATCTCTGCGACTCACTCGTACATGTGGAGGCAGTGAGCACCGTCTGAACGTCATTTGCATCTGTTTAAAATTCGCCCAGAACGCATTTATTCCGGGGGTGACACGTAACGTACTGAAACATGCTGGGCTTCAGCCCTGTCTCGATGATCTACGTTCATACGGAAGCATGGCCAGCAGCGAGCATGCTATTGACTCCATTACGTTCAGACACGACATACAACCCTGACGCGTGACGGCCGCCGCATGAACCACAGATACGCCCATCAGTGGTCACGGTCCCGACGCGATATGTGACGGGCAGGAGCGCGTGCTGGTGCACTATGTCAATGTGTTGTACCGCGGTGAAAGGATTCCTTAGATCGGTCGGCTCGCGTGCGTTGCAATGTCATGCAAATGACGTAGCGGGCAGTGCATCCATACATGCATGACGTCTCTGCGCGGTACGTCTCGACAGTTCTCAGGCCCACACAGCACGGCCCGGACGCACAGGCTGTAGAGGGAGCCGGCTGCCGGCCGGCGGTGCCGCACGTCTGACATGAGGCTGCCAGCTGGAGGGCCTGCAGTGGCGGCCGGCACGACAGCCAGACATGAGGCACCACGGCCGGCACGACAGCCAGACATGAGGCACCGCGGACGGCACGATAGCCAGACGTGAGGCACCGCGGCCGGCACGACAGCCAGACGTGAGGCACCGCGGCCGGCACGACAACCAGACGTGAGGCACCACGGCCGGCACGACAGCCAGACGTGAGGCACCGCAGCCGGCACAACAGCCAGACGTGAGGCACCGCAGCCGGCACGACAGCCAGACGTGAGGCACCGCAGCCGGCACAACAGCCAGACGTGAGGCACCGCGGCCGGCACGATAGCCAGACGTGAGGCACCGCAGCCGGCACGACAGCCAGACGTGAGGCACCACGGCCGGCACGATAGCCAGACGTGAGGCACCGCAGCCGGCACGACAGCCAGACGTGAGGCACCGCGGCCGGCACGATAGCCAGACGTGAGGCACTGCAGCCGGCACGACAGCCAGACGTGAGGCACCGCGGCCGGCACGACGGCCAGACATGAGGCGCCGCAGCCGGCACAACAGCCAGACGTGAGGCACCGCGGCCGGCACGACAGCCAGACGTGAGGCACCGCGGCCGGCAAGATAGCCAGACGTGAGGCACCGTGGCCGGCACGACAGCCAGACGTGAGGCACCGCGGCCGGCACGATAGCCAGACATGAGGCGCCGCGGCTGGCACGATAGCCAGACGTGAGGCACCGCGGCCGGCACGATAGCCAGACATGAGGCGCCGCGGCCGGCACGACAACCAGACGTGAGGCGCCGCGGCCGGCACAACAGCCAGACGTAGGGTATCGTGGCGGGCACGACAGCCAGACGTGAGGCGCCGTGGCCGGCACAACAGCCAGACGTGGGGTATCGTGGCCGGCACGACAGCCAGACGTGAGGCACCGCGGCCGGCACGACAGCCAGACGTGGTGCGCCGTGGTCGACACGACAGCCAGACGTGAGGCGCCGTGGCCGGCACGACAGCCAGACGTGGTGCGCCGTGGTCGACACGACAGCCAGACGTGAGGCGCCGCGGCCGGCACAACAGCCAGACGTGGGGTATCGTGGCCGGCACGACAGCCAGACGTGGGGTATCGTGGCCGCATGCTCTTATCCGAACGTGTTTATGTGCAGCCAAGCTTTCAAACTACGAATTTTTTGTAAAACTTATCGCAGCCTTTACCAGCTGTGTAAAATTTTACGACCATATACGTGGCTGCTGCGGATTTTTGTACGTGCTGGACAGCTCTAGATCAGGATATATCAAAGAGCAAAGATTTGAGACAGACCAGATTCAAGACACGTACCCCTGAAATAAAGTGGAGAGAACTGATTGGCACTGAAACTTGCCAGTTGTATGTATAGCGATGGTCATTTATGGTTGACACTCGGCTGGGCGGCATGCGCAGCAAACGGAGAAAAATAGCTACATGAGCTACATCGACCACACAGTAGACGTATTTGCAACACATGAAGTTCAACAACAGCGTGATAATTAGAGCGCCATTTTACATTTTAGAAAACCGATCTTTGCACCTGAGGGCTGTAAGCTCTCTGTCGTGTAAAGCTGGCGTCAGCATGCGTCACAAACTAATCGGGAAATTCAGGTGCATCTTTCGTAATTGCTGCATTCCGGCTGCAGAGGAACGCATCAGTCTTGTCACCGGTAAATGCTACTGTCATTCGCCAGGCCTGAGATTGTGCATCCGATATCTGAAAATGAAACGCTGCCCTTTTAAGAACACGTCCATTGCTGTAGCACTAGCTGTGCCAAAAAAAATGTGACATTTCAGAGCCTTACTGTCAGTGTAGATGATGCTTGTTGGAGATGTAATACTTCCAAAATGGTTGGATTTAGTCTACATTGTCAGATATCAATTTATAACGCTTGTAAGATACCAGCAATATCCCCTTTCTGCAACATGCCTGCACAGTGAGACTCTGCACAGCCGCAGAAGGGAGGTAACGGAATACACAAGAGCATAATAGGCGGAATGGTCATACCAATGCAGGCTTTCGAAGGTGCTAGAACAGCCTGCTGAGGCTTTTCTCCGTCCAAAAAGTCTTGCGTGTCCAGAAGATACAATATGTGTATAATGTATTGCTTATTAGGGATATGATCCCAGCTGCATTTCTCATGGAAAGTCTTTAAGTAAAGATATCGTGGCCTTAAAGGGAATGTTCAACATTTGGGGACACCGAAGCAAGCGTTATGTATAATGGAATAAACTCACCCTATAACTATTGGTATACTTTGAAGTAAGACTAATTTTCTGGATAACAAAACTTATCTTTTTAGCAAATATATTCCTCAATACGTCACTGCCTTATTGTGTCATGGAGCGTTTGTATGACGTTAAGGTACTGCCAAACCAGCCGTGCAAAATTGCCGCTTACTTGTAGTACTCCAATGTCGTCAAGAGATGGCAAGACGGGCTGGAATTGTTTCCGGAGCCAAATATCGTTATGGGCTCGTGCTTTGTGCCTTTCGCGTGATGCTCTTACAAAAGTATCCGTCAGCTTAACATGTTTACTTGTATTGACGTACTCGCTCATGGCGTTTTTCTTAAGTTATTTTGTTACAAAACTTATTTCCGTAAAAATTAGGCAGTGAAGAAGCCATATTGAACGTGAATCGTTATTTATCAATAAGCGGGTTTCGAGATTAAAGTTTGTACACCTTGGTCACCATTGTTTGAGAGCCAGCTGCTATCCACTATATTAGGAAATCGCGCTTACGGACACCAGATCTGAACGGCTGGTCGCTAATATCATTCCTGGCCTTGAACGCCTCTAGGCTCGCACGGTGGCAGGATTTGAATGGCATTGTTATGGTGTCATGCGTGCCCGATTGGCCTTGAAATAGTCTACATGAAATAGTCTGCACATTTTCGCGCATGTGTAGCTCAGAATCTGGAGGGTTTTAGGCCATGAGAAGGTCAGAGCTGTGAACTGCACCGAATGGTCTTCAAAGAGCCTATCTTAACTTAAAACCCGATACAAATACGAAACGCTTTTTTAAAGACCGTTCAACGCCGAATACTTGGTCTGCAACCTCGCACATGAGCATGCTTATGTGTGAGACCATATCAAGGTGTTCAGTGCATCATCGCATCGCATCCGCCCATCGATTGTTCTGGGCGGTTCAAGTGTGAAAATCACCACTAATCGGGAACACAAGGATAATCGAAACCACTCAGCCTCCGGCTTCCCGACCCAGACGCATTAACCTTTGGCTCGCGCTATCAA